CCAGTTCATTCATAATTTTCTCAACTTTCCATCTTCAACATTTTGTAGACTTGGAAGCTTAATCTTTTCTTAGTCTGGGGGCACTGTTGTACTTCACCAACTTCTAGTATGATCCCCAAAGATTTCCAAAAATTGCTACCAAATGACATCATCAATGAGGCAGAATGGGAATAAATGCATACATACATAAATAAATAAATTTTATTAACTACATTGAATTTTGTTTACCTGTAAACCAGATGCTGGAGTCAATTTGAGTTTTTAATCTGAGCCTTCCCCATTATTTTTTGCTTTGTGGCTCCCAATTGACAAAGTAAAGTTTTCAGCCCAAGAAAAGATAGGCAAACCTGTTTTACTTCAGCACCATTCTTTCAATCGTGCCCTTTTCTGTTCCCTTTCATTTAGCCTTTTCAGGTATTTATTTTTTTCTACAATGGAAAGGATATGTTTCTGCCAGGATTGTCAAAGTAAACAAATAAAGCAAAGCTAAAAAAAAAAAAAATAAGCATTGATCCAACAACAAAGCACAACAGATGATGGGACAGATTAAAACCATATGGTTTAGAACTACTCAAGAACAAACAAACTAGAAATAAAAAGACAACAGATTTGACTGCTACTTAAAAAGAAGAAAGTATTGGACTGTGCTTGAGATGAAGGGTATCCCCCTGATTTATTAATAATCACCTATAAACATATATAAAACTGTCAAAAGGTTCTCTGTATTAGATCAAGAAGATGAATCTGTGATGAAGGGATTGAAACTATAGAAGATCTCCATGTACAGAAAAAGAATCAAGCAATTTAAAATTGAGAATCATTGGCTGACTGAAACTATAGACTTGGTACCAGCAAGTGGTTGGTAGCACTATGGAGATAGGAACTGGGTTGTCTATCACATTTAACCAAGTCAGTTAAAGACGGAGGTGCTATTTTGCCCAATAGGCTATGCTTTATTAGTTTTAACCTTTTCTTTGTAGCCTAGCAAGGTATATGAAGTCAGCCAGTAGTTTATGATTCAGCATGTTGTGTTATCCTACAAAAGAGTAATCAGTAAACCTATGGCCATGTTGAGGACATCAAAATGGAATGCGACTACATGCTTGCAGGATGCTGATTGAATAGTACTTCAATACATTTCCCCAAGTGTTATCTGGAAAAGAGCCTCCATCTTCTTCCTCTTTGGAATGGCTGCACAGAGCTAGTTTTGATTCTTGCAGGAGAATGTCCCTAAAACATGTCTGTTCTCACTTGTATCGGTGTCATGATTTCACTACTACTTATATGATTAACTAAAAGCAAATATGAGACAGCAAAAAAGAAAAGCCTATTTTTTTTTTAGCCCTCAAAGCATTTGCTTTTGATATAATACCTTAGAAGGGCAATATCTATCATTTCTACTGATTTTAAAGGTTAACAATACATTGCATCTCAACTACAGTTTTTGTTTTAAATGTTTAGGAGAGGAGTTCCTGAGATTCTCAGCATATTGATGTAAAGGAAAAAGTGAGGAAAGATCAAACAAGATCATAAATGATTATTGGCTTATGGCCTCGAAATTCAACCCTTACATTATCTACCTACTTGTGTAATTTAAAAGCTTTTCTGAGGTTCTCTAGCCAGTTAGGAGCACTTAGAGTGACTTTGCCATTCTTTTTCTCCTTGATTTATGATGCTGTGGATAATTTTCATTCTTAACCTTGAGGTCATATTCTGCCATGGCTTTCACACTGCATATTTCAGAATTTACAATGAGGTGAATAACAAGTCTCTGCCTTGAAATTTGCATGCAATTAACATTCTGTTCCTCTCAGAGAGTAAATTTGCTATTAGAATGGTAAGTGATATACAGAAGACATATAGTAAAATCAGAGCACTCTGTGTTCCAAGCTTGCTTACATTACTCAGTCTAAATGTCCACATTACTTTCAGAAAACAGTAATGGTATTGCAACCAACACCCACCTAAATCATTCAAGATTAAATAAACAGCATTTTAAAGAAAAAGCCAGGTGAATTTTATGGATGAGGAAGTTGAGCATTGAAGCAAAAGTTTCATTTCTAATTATAGAAACATTTTAAAGCAAGGGAAGGCTCTAAATCACTGCCAGCTTTTATGAAAAATTTAAATATTTCTTTATTTGCTCATGCTTTCTGTGTAATGAGTGTTAGTTTCAATTCTGAGTTCTGTTTTCTCTTTCCTTCTACTACTGTGAAGAGTCTTTTATTAGTATTCTCTTTTGTTGGTTTTATGGTGCTGATCCTGAAAGGCAGCATAGAATGATCTGAAATAATCTGGGTAGCTTTCAGAACAGCTTTGCCCATGCTGGCATTCTGGATCTATCAATAACAGTTTTAGAGTTGTAGTCTCAAAATTCTATAGGGCAGTGGATATAGAAAACTGCTCTAGAAAAATGCAGGCAAAACAAAGAAACAATGAAAAAAAAAATAAACCTATTTCTAAATACTATTCTGTTTTGCACGAAGCAATTACGCAGTGTAGAAAAGAGGTAGAAGTAATAAATAAATAAATAAATGACTGGAAGCAGGAGATAAAGAAAAGAATGAATCTAAAATTATCTGGAAGTTAACTTCCATGGCAATTGGACTCCTTTTCTTTTTGGTTTGAAATTTAAGCAGCAAAAAGTTTCAGACCGAAAAGAAAAGAAGTCCAGTTGCCGTGACTCAACCTCCAGACAACTCTACCTGGATGACAGAGGATCTTCATCAACATTATCTAAAGTTAGTTTACACCGGTATCAATTATCATAGATCACTCGCATACATTTGTTGACTGTTAGAACAATCAACCAATGGAATGACTTGCCTCCAGAGGTTTTGAATGTTCCAACACTGGAAATGTTTAAGAAGAGATTGGATAACTATTTTGTCTGAAACCCCCCTAAGCAGGGGATTGGACTAGAAGACCTCCAAGGTCCCTTCTAACTCTTTTATTCTCTTATTCATACCCCTCTATCTTTGCAAACCATCCTCCCTTCTACCACTATATTTCATCCATAGCATTTTTTTTTTTAAAAAAAACTTCTCACCTCATTTTTTTGAGGATCTCATCGGTTCCTTCCAACCACAGCCTCCTTGGTCTCCCCCTTCTTCTTAGTCCACTCACTCTCCCTTCATAGATTAATTTAACAATTTGATCCTTGTTTATTCTTTCTGTATGACTGACCCATCTGCATTATCTTTTTGCAAGCTAAGATTTCTACACTAGAAACTAAAGCAGTACTGTTACCTGCATGCCATCACTAGAAGAAACAAACTGTCCTGACAGGCACTCAGGATACAAGAGACTAATATAAAATAAACTCAGCTGTACTTGAATTTTACCTACAGTGATTCTAATTTTAATGAACCAGAAACTTGTTAAACTGCATGTTATCCAAAAACAAAGCAAAATAACAATAGCAACAAATTAAGAATTAAGGAAACCGAAAAACTGTTATTTCTCATTGAAACTATCATTATTCTCTTTTCAACTCTGTGGGTTTCAAACAGTGACAGTATTAGCTGTAGCAGAAGTAGAGATGTGAGTGCATGCTGGTCCAGAGCTGGTTCTGAAGCTGTACAAAATGTTCGGGTGGAGGTGCCCAATGAAGCCTAAAAGAGAAATCATGTCTTGCACCCACACCCCAAAAGCAAAAGGAAAAAAAATGTGGTTTTCAATGTGAAGTGCAGTAGTCACTAGTAATGGAATTGCTGGTTCCAATTGTGGCCAGTAAGCAAGGACTACCTGTAGGTAGTTTGGACATCATACTAAACTTACATACTTATGTATTGATTAAACCTCACTAGTTCACACATAGCATTAACCCATAAAACACAAAGAAGACGTTTATTTGGAACTGAATCCAAAATAATCCAAAATAAATTAATCGCTCATTATGACCTAGAATGACATGTTCCTCTAATAATTCTATCAACTTAACTATAACCATTTCACTTATTGCTATTTGCTAATATAAATATTGTTGCTTACTGATTCATTTAAATGTATACCTCTATGCCCTACCATCCAGACAATCTTAAGTAGGTCACCATTTCTTAAAACAAGATTAAATAATACAAACATGTAAAATAAAGTTGTTAATTAAAGAGTCCACTGGGTAGAGGAGAAGGAGAAGGAGGAAGAGAAGAGGAGGAGGAGGAAGAAGAAGAAGAAGATGAAGAAGAAGAAGAACAAGAACAAGAAGGAGAAGAAGACATGGATACTGAGAACCCCACACAATAGTAATTGTGATACTATAATTAGGCACTTAAGGCATGGATAAGAAGTCCTGGCAGCAAGAGTAAAATGCCAGGGCTTCTGGTGTCAGACACAAGAAACAGAAGCAGCAACCTCATCTCCAAAAGAATGTCATAAAAGAAAAAGTTTCTCCTCCATCCTCATTTTCTAATTCACGAGTAGATAACCTTTCTTCAGTTAAATTTTGTGCATCTTTCTTCCTGGGTCTGTGTGCTTAATGAGCACTCATTAAGCTACTTCTTTACATGCAGAATAAATCTAAAGCAGAAGGGCAATGAGGACATTGCAGTCCTTCTAATTTTCCTTATATATTCAGGATGGAGTCTGTTGAAAGTTAAAGAGCGGGCCGGTTGCATCATGCTGAGGCAGCGCCCACCCCAGCTCCGGCAATGCAAAAAAAGTTGTGACACATCACGTGACATGGCGAGTTTGACACCCGTGTTATAGAGGAACTGCTTGTCTCACTTGTCCCACTGAGTTCCTCCATAAACTGCCTAATATTTACAATCCTAGAGTTTACACTTTACAATTCCACAGCATTTACATGTCATAAACTTTGTTCATCTGTAAGCCTATGCTGTAATGAGCTTGGTTATATTTACTGTAAGGTGTGGTCTCTCACTCATAATAGTTTCGGTTTTTGTGTGAACCAGAGCAAAGTATCCTGCACTTAGAGCCTAATTGTATTACAATATGGTGTTAAAGCATAATAAAAATATAAGTTTTAGTTGAAGCATTACCTGCACCAGTACAAAGAACCTTTTCTTCCATCTCTTCCAGACATTTTTGCCGATGGCCCACAAATATCTATAAAAACAGCAAGGAAAACTTCATTAGGATTTTTTTTTTTTTTTAATAAGAACCTCGTTTGCATCGGGCAATTTTTACTGGAAACTGCAACTAAACACTGGTTTTAGAAAAAAAAATGTTGTAAATCGTGTTGTGACTATAGGATTCTGCAAACAGCCATAAATTATCAAACCAGTTGCCAAGCCCCCAAAATGTGATCACATGACCACAGGGAGAGGGGAGTGGTGATCTTTTAACTTGATGACTGGCTTAACTGCTACTGTGGTTTGTGCTATGGAAAAGAAAAGAACTAATCTTTTAGTATTCTCCTATAGGAGAAGGAATGGCAGAATTTGGGGGTGGAGTCAAAAGAATGACATCGTAGTAATAATAATAATAATAATAATAATAATAATAATAATAATAATAATAATAATAATAGTAATAGATGTGGAAGTGCCTGGAGACAGCAGAATAGATGAGAAAAAACTGGAGAAGATAACAAAATACAAAGACCTACAAATAGAAAAACAACAAGTATGGCAAAGGCAAGCAAATATAGTACCAACAGTAATAGGCGCCTTGGGTGCAATCCCAAAACAACTGGAGCACCACTTGAACACCATTGGCATTGACAAATTCACCATTAGTCAATTGCAAAAGATGGCCTTACTAGAAACTGCTTCCATTCTGTGACAATATTTCTAATACCATCAAACATCCACATCTGCCTATCCGAGGTCCTTGGTAAGGACTTGATAGGTAGACAAAAATACCAAATCCAGTCTGAACATTTGGCTGACTGTGTGATGATCAGTAAAAATAATAATAGAGTTGGAAGTGATGTTGGAGGTCTTGTAGTCCAACCCCCTGATCAGGCAGGAAAACTGTACCATTTCAGACAAATGGTTATCCAGTCTCTTCTTAATAACTTCCAGTGTTGGAGCATTTACAAGTTCTGGAGGCAAATTGTTCCATTGATTAATTGTTCTGTCAGGAAATTTCTCCTTAGTTCTAAGTTGCTTCTTTCTTTGATTATTTTCATCCATTGCTTCTTGTCTTACTTTCAGGTGCTTTGGAGAATAGTTTGACTCCTTCTTTGTTGCAACCTCTGAGAAGTTGGAACACTGCTATCATGTCACTCCCAGTCCTTCTCTTCATTAAAGTAGACATACCCAATTCCAGCAACCATTCTTCATGTATTTTAGCCTCCAGTCCCCTAATCATCTTTGTTGCTCTTCTCTGTATTCTTTCCAAAGTCTCAACATCTTTTTACATCATGGTGACCAAAACTGGATGCAATATTCCAAGTGTGACCTTACCAAGGTGTTATAAAGTGGTATTAACACTTCATTAACACAGAGTGACTGTAGACTGATTCCTCTTTTGACTCCAACTCCAAGTTCTGCCAATCCTTCTTTTACATCCCGCTAGTCTCCATCTCCAATAATCAGTTGTTCTACATTAAGAAAGGGACATCAATATTCCTTCTTTTCCTTTGCTCTAAAAAAATAGTTCAATTTATTTGTCTGGAATCTACCACAATATTCTTTCTGACAGGTACTATTTCACTTGCAAATTTCATTAGATTACATTCTGTCTCAGACAAGAAAAAATACTGGCATTTCTTAAAAATCAAATTGTAAAGGACCATAGTTGGAAAATGCCAGCAGTAAACAGACTCTGATTACAATTTTGTCCAGCACCATCAGAATTCGACAACATAGCTGGTGTTAGCTAAGAAAATATGAGTGATTAAATTTAATTAGAATGTGCTGATGGTCATTTTAAAACAGATAAGACAAATTTGTGGAACATAAACGTATGAATGGCTATTAATCCTGAAAGACCATATGGAATCTTCATGATGGGAAGCCATTGTACATTTGCTTCCTAAACATTATATGGAAAGAATAGAGCATGGCTGTTGCATTATATCCTTCCAGTAAGCTTCACCTTTATTTATTTTTATTATGTATCAAATTTTTGTATTGCCCATCACAGTTGCATCCCTCCGGGTATTTTACAAATAAAATGGAAAAATCATATAAAAGCTGTATGATTTGGCACAGTGGTTAGAATGCAGTATTTCAGGCTAACTCTGCTCACAGCCTCGAGTTTGATCCTGATGGGGCTCAAAATTGACTCAGCCTTCCATCCTTCTGAAATTGTAAAATGAGGATCCAGATTTTGGGGGGGGGGCAATATGCTGACATTGTAAACTGCTCATAGAATACTGTTAAGGCACTATGGTATATATATACATCTAAGTGCTATTGCTATAGTTAAAAACAAAGTTAAAAAAACAGATTAAGCCAAAGTTAAAAAGAACAATTACAGAGTTAAAAGGCAGAAGAAGAACCTTCAGCCGATCAACTACCCCTAAAGTTGCATGGTATTCTTGAATTGCCAGGCAACTTGGCAGAGCCTGGTCTTAATGCTTTTCCAGAAGGCCAGAAAAGCAGGGGTCTGTCTCTGGGCAAGCTAGGGGGATGCAACAGGGAAGTCTTTGTTCCTACAGTAGTGGCCAAAATTGTGGAAACCTTTTGGGAAAAGTGTATTTTTGAGATTTGATGGCTAATAACACCATTTTTTTTGGAGTAGTACCATAAAATTATATATCAGTGGAAAGATAATTTAATCAAGAATGTAATGCAGCATAGTTTGTTCAATTATCTGTACTGTGTTCTACGAAAAGTTATAGCCAAATAACCAGAAAAAGGAAACACTACTTGCTTAGGTTGAGACCAGGTGGCTTTCCTTCATCTGATTGTAGCGAATGAACATGAGTTTTTAGAGAGCCAATCAGGTGTCATCTTGTTTTGGCAATGAGCCAATCAGATCACAGTAGGATTCAGTTATTGATGTCATGTATTGAAGCTGAGAGCAGGACATAGGTCAGTGTGTTATGTGATCGCTATCAAGTTGGTTGGGGTTTTTTGTTCTTTCATTTAGTGAGCTTGTAAAATGTAATACAATTAAAGTAATGGTGCAAAGAGTTGACTGGTTACCCAGAAAGTGATGTAAAATAGTATTATTAAGTGAACAAGGCTACAGTTATAAAAAAATTAGAAGAAAAATTGGTGGAAACTTAACCAAAGGTGGCATTTCTACTGTACACTTTTGGCCATTACTGTAGACTCCATCAGTAAGATTCTTTAACTGACAGGATTTGTAATATGCCTTCCCTCTCTGATTTTGTGTGATGGGTCAAAGAAATCGGGACAAGATGTTTCCTCAAATAATCTGGCCTTATGCTTTAAAGTAGGGATCTCCAATCCCTGGTCCGTGGACCAGTACCGGGCTGCGGCATGCCAGCAACCGGACCGCACAAACAAGCAAAGCCCCATCTGCAGCACACAGAACCACACATCCTCCAGTCCGCAGAAAAATATCTCTCCAAGGAACCGGTCCCTGGTGCCCAAAAGGTTTAAAGGTTTAAAGCTTTAAAGGTAATAACTAACACTTTAAATTGGACTCAGAAGCAAATTGGCACCCAGTGCAGTACATGTAGCAGAGGTTACATCATAACTCATTGGCTGTCATTAGTAACAAAATGCTGAACAGATGATCCAGAAAAGTAACACCTATGTTTTTATTGCAAGGTGGGATAAAAGAGACATACTAATAGGGCTGGATTAGATTAGAATCCCATGAGGATGTATATTATATCTGATGAGAGATTGGAATATTATTTTCATACTGCTCTCCATTCCACCATACATGTCTTACCTTCAGTGCTGCTCTTTAAAATGTAGGGATAACATTTCAATGGAAAAGATGCATAAATACAGACTATTGCATGTAAGGGTAGATTATGCAGTCAATGATTACGCAAAATGTTTATGTGAATAAAATTAAATTTAATAAACCAATAATCCATTCATAATTTACAATTTGATAACAATAATTAATAATAATTAATACTTCCCCTTTAAGACTTACAAATGCAACGTTGGAGGGTACATAGGTATTATAAGTATGCCCTTTTGCTCTATGTAAAAAGGCTGAGTGTGAGTAAAGCTTTTTTCTAACAGGAACAATTCAGAAATATTATTTTATGTCTGTATATGGAAGATAAGAAGCCATAAAGAGTGAAACACTATTTCAATTTGTTAACTCATGTGAAAAGTAGCAATGCTTACACATTCCACTAAACAATTTTAATTGAATTTCTCATAGGAAATGTAGAAACAGACTACATAAAGCCAGTCCATAAACTGAGCACATTTTACTTAAATTACCTCTCAAAAAAAAACCCAAAACCCTGAAACAATAACTACAGGAAAGCATAATTTAAAAAAAATCTCATATGCCCTCTTTTAAATATTAAGCATTTCTATTTGTGAAGCTGTTTCTTTTGTAGAATCAATGTGATCTTTCTGTAAGCAGATTTCTTGTTATATAATATAATATGATTTACATTTATAAGTTGCTCCATGATGCTGGTGGTGAACAGTATGAATTTTAAACAGTCCAATACAACCAAAAGCTAATATTTGAAAAAAAATAACACAAATTGCAATGAAGAAATTGTCTCCACAGGGGGTTTGTCACCCACTGTAACCCAAGATCTGGATTTTAAGAGCTCGTCTGAATAACGTCTGGATGGAGACCATACAACACAGTGCTAGGCTGCATTAACAGAGGAATAGAATCAAGATCACGTGAAGTGTTAATACCACTTTACAATGCCTTGGTAAGGCTGCACTTGGAATACTGCATCCAGTTTTGGTCACCACAATGTAAAAAAGATGTTGAGATTCTAGAAAGAGTACAGAGAAGAGCAACAAAGATGATCAGGGGACTGGAGGCTAAAACATATAAGGAATGGTTGCTGGAATTGATTATGTCTAGTTTAATGAATAGAAGGACCAGGGGTGACATGATAGCAATGTTCCAATATCTCAGGGGTTGCCACAAAGAAGAGGGAGTCAAGCTATTCTTCAAAGCACCTGAAGGCAGGACAAGAAGCAACGGATGGAAATTAACCAAAGAGAGAAGCAACCTAGAACTAAGGAGAAATTTCCTGACAGTTAGAACAATTAATTAGTGGAACAACCTGCCTCCAGAAGCTGTGAATGCTCCAACACTGGAAGTTTTTAAGAAGAGACTGGACAGCAATTTGTCTGAAATGATGTAGGGTTTCCTGCCTGAGCAGGGGGTTGGACTAGATGACCTCCAAGGTCCCTTCCAACTTTATTATTATTATTAAATCTTTGGAGGGATGTCATTCTAGAGGGCAGGAGCTGTGACATAAAGGGTCTGCTTCTTGGGTTTTATCAGATGATACTTTAATTGATAGGACCAGGAGCATGTCCACCTGACTAGATCATGTGTAATGGGCAGAAACTATGGAAGACAAGTCCCTTGGATAACCAGGCTGTATGCCATGAAGGCCTGTACAGGTAATATTCAGCATCTTGAACTGCACCCAAATCCTACTGGTAACCAGTGCAGCCATGTAGCGGAAGTGTTATGCAGGCCTACCATATGTGAGAGAATGAAACTGAGGTTGCTGTCTTCAGCCAAGCCAAAATGCTTCCCACACCCACTTGCCCAAGGAATGGCTCAGCACATTGTTTCATTCATTTCCTCCACTCATGGTTGACTCATAAGCATCCATGCCAGTGTTCCAGGTGTCTAGCTAATTGAGCCACAACCTGGCATTTTTAGGAATGAACTGACATCAGTATGCAGCTTAACCCTCTATGGAGTGGGGTAAAGCTACAATGTATGAGAGAAAAAGAAAACAACAAGCAGATTAGGAAGCAGGAAGTGATGTTTGAAGTGTATGATTCATACAGGCAAGCAAATTGTGGTCAACTGCCGGGATGATACAGCTACAGTAAACAGCCAATTGTGGTGTGATTCCTGCCTGAAGCTTGGCATAGAACCAGAAGCAGAGCAATCACACTTAACCCCAACGAGATTAAATGAGGTCAAATCCATTTTACAAACTTTAAGACTTTTATTTGTTATAAGGGCTAACAATCAAAGACTTATTTGTATGGCTATATCAGTTTACAAAAGCTGGGAGCATGAAGTCAACCCAATAGGAAAGGTGTGTGTTACAATGAAGTGTTTTGTAGACTTATATTCTACACGGTGGTGTGTCCAGTCTTAGAAAACAAAGAACCCTGACATAATTCCCCATTCAGAGCCAGCTGCAGTCTCTCAATGGTCTTCAAGGGCTGCCCCATGTATTGAGCATTGCAGTATGTAATCATGAAGTGATCAAAGTATGAATGGTTGTCTAAAGTGCCTCCCAATTATTGTATGGGCACAACTGGTACACTAGTTGAATTTATCTGAAGATCTCCCTGGCTGTTGTGTTACTCCAAAAAGTCCCCTAAATTTTGGCCCAGTCCAGAAGGGGAAAGTGTGATCTTATTCAGGACTAAAGAGGGCCATCACTTGGGTTTGGGTGTGAGCTTGTTCCTTTCCCTCTAGACCTGCACAGCCTCTATCATTATTTCAAAGACCTTGATAACTTGTTCAGAATATTATATGCATAATTATCACAGCACAATCAGGATATTCAAAGAAACAGGTTATCATTATTATGAATACTCTGATTATGCAGTAAGGAATTTACTACTGCAAAAATGCAGTGCAAGAAATAAAATATAGGAAAATTACACTGATTTATATTTTTAAAAATCCTTTATTGTTCATTTTTGAGAATAATAATAATAATATTCTTAGTTCACACGCAGAATAGACAGGAGTGATTATTTTCAGAGGGCATTTAGTTTGAAATATTAAGAGAGATAAAATGTGCTAGTAAATAACATGTCAAACATTCCCAGCAGGATGTAAATTAAATCTCATTGATTCAGTTTTTAAGTTCATACAATCTGGGAGAAGAAGATGACATTTTTCAATTATTATAATACTGGAAAATATGGTAACATGCAATCACTGTAATTTGCAAAAAAACCCCAAACAAACCACTTACCCAGAATGTTTCATATTCTGAGGTTTATCCATTCGGACAGCAAGCTTGATTTTCAGGTCTTGATCAGGACAGTTTTTGGAAACAGCCATTTTGTGCCATTCTGATTGTTTGGGGCTATTTGGTGTTGGATGAAGAACAACCTGAAGACAAAGTTTTAACATGCAGAGATTTGGAGTGCATGTATCCAGATGCTATGGATATATATCTCTCAGAATTATTTTGCTCCCAGATAAGATTTCCTACAATAGCATCATCATAAAAATGATGTGAATTTTCATTGTTGCCATATCCATCCAATGAGAGGTAAGGTAAATGATATATGGAACTGTCACATCAGTCCAATGACAGGTAAAATAAATAAATGTGCTACTCCACCAAACAGCATTATATAGCTTTGCCACCTTCTTTTTAGGATCTACAGTGTAATTCTGTGTCTGGGCAGAGTGATTGCACCAAAACAAGGCCTTGTGTGAAAGTAACCTTTTCTCAGCATTATGAACTCTGCTGCTACTTATTGGTCCACTGTAAGCCTAATGGTTTGTGGTTTGACTTCCAATGCATAAGGTGAGAAGTAAACTTCTGTGTCATGGCATGTCAAGGAATATATGCATTTGTCATTTGGAGACAGTTGCATAGCTGTTGCATTTATACTTCTGCAAATGCTAAGGTTTTAACTAGGGAGGCATTAGAAAACTTCTCAATAGGAAGTCGGGAAACACAGAAAACTTCCCAACAGGAAATTGGATCAAACGATTATGGGTGCAAGGACTGGTTGTAAGTTCCCTTTTTCCAGTGCCATTGTAACTTTGAATGGCCGCTAAACAAATGGCTGTAAGTTAAGGACTACTTGTAACTTTACTTATTCTGTATTTGTAGGCCAATCAGAATCTCTGGAAGTAGAATAATATATAAGCTAAATTAAATAATAATTTAGAGAAACATTCCTTTCAGTTAAGATTCTAATAGACCTTTTTTAAAAAAACTGGTCTACGCAGTTATAGAATAAAAACCATACATCCACGCAGACAGTTCTCATTTCTCATCAGCGTATACAATAAAATTACTTCAAATTAGAGCTAGAATTTAATAACTTATACAAAAGAGAGAGGCGGGGAAATAGGTGTTTTTAACTGAAGAACAATGAGTTATCTGGCACTCTGCAGTTAAAGTTATTAAAGTTAAATTCAAGCCTTATACTTAGATGTTTTTTGTGTCCCATGTAGCAGTAAGTGAAGAGCAGAGGAAGCTGAGTAGAAGCAAAGCAGAGCCCAAAGGGAATTTATTGGCAATTATATCTGTCACCAAGATAAATGCTGCTGAAAGCGCTATGGGGAAAAAAATGATATCGACATAGAGAAAAAAAAGAAGAAACGCTCAGGAGCGTGATGTTATACAGCTAATATTACTGGGAACCTGTTACATAATTAAAAAAATGAAAGTTGGCATTATTATCAGCTTTAGCAGCTGGTGGAAGAAATGGACAGGCCACAGTTAATTCAACTGCAGCTGTGCTGCTAACCTGAATATGGTGAATTATCTACTGATCGGAGAGATGACAAATGAAATTCATTCCATAGATCCAAAGTTATTCTGGCAACCTTGCTCTACCTGAGGTAGATTGTTAACAGCCTCAGCAGCAATCTCATCTATGCTCTAAAATGAGATCAGCGTTGATTTGCACTCATCTCTGGGAAATAAATTATTGGAATCCTCCCCTCTCCCCTCCTCCTCCTCATGCCTTGGCTTGGCCAATGGAAGAAGACACTAATGCTTCTATTATTGTTAGTTTTCATGTTTAACCCACCTTTATTATTTATAAAGAACTTAATGTGGCGAATATAACTAATACTTTTCCCTCCTCCTATTTGCCCCACAACAAACCTGTGAGGTGGGTTGGGCTAAGAGCAGTGGTGGGATTCAGCCAGTTTGTACCAGTTCGGCAGAACCGGTAGCTAATTTTTTTGTTGCCCAGACTTCCAGAAGCGGCATCCACACAGAGAACTGATTGTTCACATATTTGAATCCCACCACTAGCTAAGAGAGAATGACTGGCCCAACCCAGCTGATTTTTCATACCTAAAGCAGGACTAGAACTCACCGTCTCCTGGTTCCTAAGCCAGCACCTTAACCACTACCTAAACTAGCTACGGAAACAGGGGAGGATCTTTCTCAGGATACACGATATAAGGTTCACCACTCAGCCACAATATTTTAATTTCCTTTTGTTAACTAAAGCAACATTGTCATATGTTAATTAATTAGAATTGATTTTGCAACCTTCCCCTCCCCCCCCAAATTTTTCCAATAATTTAATTATGTTTATTTCAGGGAGGAATTGTTACTGAGATGAGATGTTCCTCTTTTCCCTATCCCTTTTAACAGTTATTTATTTTCCTCTCTGATTTCTTTGGAACTCTGTCTGAATTTTTTGGGACTGTGTTTCATCAGTCTGGGAAAAATATGCAATCCCTGTGGTTCTTTTTCATGCAAGATTCTTAGTCAGCCTTCTCTTTGAAATGCTTTACCAATGGGGAAATTGCAGAAATGCATTTCAGGCCCAACTTTCAGCCTCCACAGGGGTATTTTGTGTGTGTGTGTGTGTGTGTGTGTGTGTGTATGCATGCACGTGTTCACTGTGTCTTCAAAATTGAAAATCAACATTTGAGTTTTTCAAAGACCTGTCCAACCTTTCTTTCCTTCTTCAAGAAATGTTTTGGCAGTTGTAATTTTATCACAGCACATTTATTTATTAAATTTCCTGTATGTGTTGCCATCTTACCAATAAAGGGACCCTGGATGGCTTACAGGTGATAAAAAGCTAAATGTGAAACAAGTAAAATTAAGAAGACTTTTGTAAGAATTAAAACCAAAAATAAGAGATGCAATGTTGTCATTCCCATCATTGCATTATTTGCTGGTGAGGTCAACAGCTGTGTCTGTCCTTACCCGCCCAAGTTCTTTGTCTTCCAAAGCCAGGACACCAGTACTCTCCGTAAACAGCTTCACCTTCACAGCTGGAAGGGCGTGTGTCGTGGAAAAGTCACCCTGAGTTCCCCAGCTGTGAAAACATCCACAAGAAAGACATTAGGAAGAAAGACAGAAGCAGCAGCAGCAGCTTGCCACCTCAGCTCTGTCACCTTGGAGGGGAAAAGGTTACCGCAAATGTCACCAACTGTCATATATAGAAAAAGAAAAAAGCATCAGGAGTGCCATTGTGCTAATTAATTAATGTGGTAAAAAACCTGCAAGACAACAACTCAGCAATGTTGAAAAACTCCCTCTGGAAAGGCAAGATGCTAACACAAAGCCAGTGGTAGCAAAAGGTATGCTTGCACTTGGGTTTATTTTGCAACTCAGTAAAAAGAAGGCTGATGAAAACATTGTTGTACCAAAGGTTTTCGTGTAAGTTAAAGGCCCATTGCAGTTAGATAGTGATCACCATGATCCATAAAACTGGAGAAATACAAACGAATACAAATACTACCCATTTCCAATGTACAGGATTTTTATATTCTGGATTCAAACCCTAGAATTAGACAAAAAGCAAATTTCTCCATGTATAGATTCCAATAATTGAATAGTTTGCTGCATTTCATTAAAGATTCAAAGCTTTATTTATATACAACATGGATTATTTTGGTGGTATAGCTAAGGGACCGTGGGGTCCTTGGTGATAATAGAACAGAACAGAACAGAACAGAATAGAACAGAATAGAATAGAAAGTTGGAAGGGACCTTGTAGGTCTTCTAGTCCAGCTCCCTGCTCAAGCAAGAGAACCTATATCATCTCAGACAAATGGTTGTCCAATCTCTTCTTAAAAATGTCCAGTGTTGGAGCATTCACAACTTCTGAAGGCAGGTTGTTCCACTGGTTAATTGTTCTAACTGTCAGGAAATTTCTCCTTAGTTCTTGCTTCTCTTTTTGATTATTTTCCATCCATTGCTTCTTCTCCTGCCTTCAGGTGCTTTGGAGAATAGAGCAACAAAGATGATCAGGGGACTGGAAGCTAAAACATATAAGGAACAGTTGCTAGAATTGGGTATGTCTAGTTTAATGAAGAGAAGGACGAGGGGGGACATGATAGCAGCGGTTGCCACCCCTAGTCCGTCTCTTCATTAAACTGGACATACCCAATTCCAGCAACCGTTCCTTATATGTTTTAGCCTCCAATCTCCTAATCATCGTTGTTGCTCTTCTCTTTCTAGAGTCTCAACATCTTTTTTTACATTGTGGTGACCAAAACTGGATGAAGTATTCCAAGTGTGGCTTTACCAAAGCATTGTAAAGTGGTACTAAACTTCATGTGATCTTGATTCTATCCGTCCGATAATGTAGCCTAGCACTGTGTGTTGCCTTTTTTGGCAGCTGCAGCATACTGCTGGCTCTCTGAGCTTGATTGTTTTCTTGCAGACTTTTCATTACCTATCTAGGTAACATCATCAATGCTAGAAGGGAGTAAAGTTTGATCTCTCTTTATATACTAATAGCTTGTCCTGTTGGTGGGCGTATTCTTGGAGGTTCTTTGATTGGGCTGTTGTTTACTGTTAGCTTGTTTGTCTGAGATGTTATCTGATTGGATAATGAAATGTCTGCAATAAAACAATCAGTCTCAAAGAACACCAATGTACGAACAGTTCAACCCTGAGCTACAATATTTTCTTCTATCAGTAGTTAAGGGGGCATATGGATAAAAGAAAGGGAACAAGTGTCCCCAGATCATTGAAATCAGTGTTCATTTACATAAACTGCCCATTTTGCTGTTCTGTTTTTGAAAAGAGATGAACCTTAGCTCTAGAAGAGAACATTGGTTGATATTAATTTTTCATTTACCATCCCATCTGCTGATTAGTGCTATTGTAATGATATACATCAACGTTTGCTTGATGTTTTTGATATTTATTTAGGAGTCATTTAGGAGTAAAATGGTTAATAAACTGTAAGTAATGCAGATAATCTGACAAAATCAGATGAAAGAACAAACTCATACAAAACAAGGAGACAAAGATACAAATGAAGAGTCTTTGGGAAAGTTCACAATCTGTAATTGATGACTGAGGGTTCATCACAGACCATTTCAGAATCTATCTCCTTAATTATGTCTAGCAGGCTGCAAAATAATTTGCTTTCATTTGTACTACTTTTCCTTAATATTCATAAAATATATAAAATACAGAATATTTAAAGCACAAACAAAAGGAAAAGTAAAAATAGCAAATCAGCAACATTATTAAACTATCAGCAAGAAAGAAAGATAAAAAGGATGAATTGGCTTAAGAAGTAAAATGTCACAGCAGGAGCTTAAAAAGCCATGACTGATTAAAAAATGCAGTGAAATAAGGATTTTGCCTTCCCCATAAACCTCAAAAAAGAGAAAACAATATGTGGATGGGGACATGGCTGAATCGTTGATTTGAGAGAACCCATTATTGATACTGGGAAATAAAACCAGATCACTTTTTTTAAAAAATAGTACTGTGATTATTGTTCCATGGTTTTTCTGCCCCTCATCATTTTTTTCCTAGGAATTTTTAATGGCACTAGCAACAGCACTTAGACTTATGTACCTCTTCACGGTGTTTTATAGTCCTCTCTAAGCAGCATATTGCCACTAACAATTTGGGTCTTAATTTTACTGACCTTGGAAGGATGGAAGGATGAGTCAACCTTGAGCTGGACAGGATCAAACTGCTCACAATTGGCAGAGTTAGCTTGCAGTAGTGCATTCTAATCACTGCACCACCAGAATAGTTTCTAAACTATTCTAAACTATTTGAGCTGTAAAATGGGAGAGCACATAAGATCCCAATTTAGAACTTTTTTGTTGTTGTTGAATAATTGAAACTGAATTTATTAAATCATACCAGACTCTTTTTTTAGCTTTGGAGAGAACACAAGGTACTTTTCATTACAGCTCGGATAGATTTTCAATAGTCTTCACAGCTCATTTAATTTTGTTTCTCGAAATTTCAAGCTGTGTTACCACTTTTTTTTAAAAAAGTAAATGGCACATTTGTTCTTGTGAAGGTGAGCTTGTTCTCTCCTCTCCCCCACTTAATAAAACACACATAGGGCTTAATAAATTGTGAGAAAGTAGCCTTTGCACTGCCATTTTCAATTAAAAAAACAGCGCTAGATCAAAATGCAAGAAGTTCTATGTTGTCTGCTGCTATCTCTAAATCCAAAATGTACCACTGAGGCACACCTCTGCATGAGTGGCAGCCCAGTTGCAATGCCCTGTGGACAATGGATGGATCAACAGAATCAGACTCAACTGTGCTATAAATGAAAATGGAATTAAAGCTTGATGAACAAAGATATTTCCTGTCTACTAGCAGCAATTAAGCATCTGAAATCAAACAGATAACTCCATGGAATGTCATCTGAACTCTGCTGGTAAGATTGATCCAAGAGTTTGCATTTGAAACATTTATTTCTGACCATAGGTTTTGGCAAAATACCTAGGAGCTGGAAGATGTGCTTCTCTTTCTAACATTTTCACCATTTAAAAAAACCCCATTACTTAATTTTCGGATTCAGACTGTCTTGTCACTCAACTCTTACTTTGTATTAATCTCTTTGAACTCAGACCTGTGAGAAAGACATTTGAGATCTGATCGTACAGTTCAAGACCAGTCTTGATTTCCACAGTACAATGCTCTTTTAATTCTTTTCTCATTCCCAGGACCAATCCTAGCGTAGTGCATAGCCTATGCTTAGTCCTTTTTTGTGATATGCACAGACACAAGGCATATCAAGAAGGGTAGGCTGCACCATTGTAAACACAGGGCTGACTGCAGTTCCTGGAGGTAAGAAAAGACATTACAGTTCTTTGATTTAACTGTAGCCTGTGATGAAAGCAAATCTAATTTGTGTTTTCCTGCTGCAAGTTGAAAATCATCTTTTTCTGACCTAAGGCCTCCTAAGCTGTTGTTTGATCTCTGTGAATGTTTCGTCTCCATTCAAGGGGACATCTTTAGTGCACTTTGAATTGTGCTCATCTGTCAGAGCACTAGTCTCCTCATTTGGGCAGGGGGCTGGACTAAAAGACCTCCAGGGAAACCTTCCAGCCCTATGTTTCTACGGACAGATGCATAATGATTGTTCTGATTTATAAAAATTCAGAAGTTTAAATGTCAATCTCATCTGAATACAGCTGATTAAAAGTAGAGGAGCTTTATGGTAATATGGAGAGTTCAAAGAATTTGGAGGTAAGCATGTTTTGGATGCACTCAGAATAAACCACCAATGAGGGAATTTCTCCCAATAAAATGGTCCTAATTAATAGCCCTAGCATGAGTACAGTAAAAAGAGTCCTAATGAGCAGTAATCCAATAAAGCAAGTCAATCAAAATATAATAACTAAGGCACAAAGGCTTAAAACTGAAGTTCCTCTACATGGTAAAATTGGGCTTCTTCAATCAGAAGCAGCATAATTCCATCTAAGTTTATTTTGGTATTTATGTTTGACAAGGAAAAAAACTGCTTAAAAGTGAGAGGAAGTAGATGAACGTAGATTCATAGAGAGTGAATAGATGCATTTTGGCAGAATATTTACGAAAGATGAGGAAATAGATTGAGAAATCTCAAGTTGTCCAAATGTTGGTAGAAAGACAGAAGTACTTTGTGGGCCGTTGTCAGGAATGAAAGTTTGTTGAAAGAAAAAAAGATGGCTGAACTGAAGAGCAGGTTTACACCCTCTTAATAAAATAATAGAACAGAGTTGGATGGGATCTTGTAGGTCTCCCCTTATTCAAGCAGGAGACCCTATATCATCCCAAACAGGTGGCTGTCTAGTCCAGTGGTTCTCAACCTTTTTAATGCCGTGACCCCCAACAGGTCGTAAGTCGAGGACTACTCAACTGGTGCAACACCGTTTGCAGAATGGGACTTTTGGCGGGCTCAGCAGGGCAGAGACAGCCTGGACAATTCCCATTGGCTATTCAAGAGAGTCTATTCTATTGGCTTTCAAAAGCCAATAGAATAAGAGGGAGTAGCACAGCTAAGGAAAAGGGGGAAAAAAATGGCAGACTGCGTTGTTTGGCGACCCCCGTGAAATG